GTACATGATTTCTCATGTCTACCAAGTGCTATGGTGCTAAAGAGATGCCACTTTTAATTATTTATTACCCTCATTTATCTTCAGGCTCCGTGTCACCTGAAGCTCACAAGGATGACCTCCTTGGACACAAGACAACACAGATTATATTCGATAAAAGAATGAATTAGAACTGAATAACTGCAACTACTGAAAGAATACTCGAAGGCATAAAGGACCATGTTCTTAAGAGGAAGAGGCCACAAGACCAGATTATCTCCAAGTCTGCCTTCCCCAAGGACATCTACCCATTCTACCAGAACAAATGTGAGCATGTTTCCTTCCCCTTCATTTAATGGGAGCTATGTAGCATGCTTTTTCTATTGCAGTCTCTGCTCTATGGAATATCTTGCCCTCTGACATTTAGAGAACTCCAACCTTTTAGCGGTGGCTAAGATGCTGAGCTTGTTGATTGGAAAGGTCGGCAGCTTGGCGATCCGAATCCCTAGTGCCGTGTAACTGAGTGAGCTCCCGTTACTTGTCCCAGCTTCTGCCAACCTAGCAGTTCGAAAGCACATAAAAATGCAAATAGAAAAATAGAAACCACTTTTGGTGGGGAGGTAACAGCATTCCATGTGCCTTCGGCATTTAATCATGCTGGCCACAGGACCATGGAGACGTCTTCAGACAGCACTGGGTCTTTGGCTTTGAAATGGAGATGAGCACTGCCCCCTAGAGTTGGGAATGACTAGCCCGTATGTGCAAAAGGAACCTTTACCTTTAACCTTTTAGCATGCTGTTGTCATAAGGCTTTAAAGGCTTGAGTTTAATTGTCTAGTTTAATGNAGATAGAGATAGAGATAGAGATAGAGATAGAGATAGAGATAGAGATAGAGATAGAGATAGATACTGTATATAAAACTCTCTTGGAAGAGAAAGCTATCTTAGAATTAAACCAGGGCAGGATTTTGTGCCTCTGTAGCTTCAGTATAGCTATTCTGAGTGGCAGGAGAGCTTTCACATCTCTTGCTACCTTATTATCCTTTTAATAGAAGGTGTCCAGCGTATACTTGCAATGTTTGTGCTTTAGTATTGATTCCTTTGCTCTAAGGGACTAGAAATGAGAACCTGGATCAAAAACAGTAAACAGGGATAAATACCTCACATTATTTAAAGCACTCACCCTAGCTACGGAATATTATTTTTGTAACAAAATACACCCTCTTTTTGTGTTGTCATATTTGATAGCTAAAAAGCTATGGCAGTTTGTATAAAAAAGCACTTCTGATCTTCGCCGTACTAAGTCTTGGTTCTTTGAGATCCACCTCTGCCTTCCCACCTCTTTTTATTATTATTATGTTTGACTGATTGTTCAAATCTCAAGAGAGTCTGCCATACAAACCTTTCCCTGGTTTAGGCTGTCTGCCAGGTTACCTGGCATTACAACTGTTTAATGCATTGGACGTGGTCCCAATTTTTCAAAGCTTTGCCATTTACAGACAAAGCGTGAAGCGTAAGTGGAAGATCGCAAAAACACTGAAACACTGGAAAGCTTTTCATTCTCTGAGTACCACATGTGGCATTTCTGTCCTTCAAGGAAGAAAACAGCTTCCCTGGGTGTTGCAAATGAATAGCAGAGCAACGGCTCTGGTATGGAAAAGAGGGGGGAAAGCGAGGTGAGAGATGTTAGTTCTTTGGAACACTAGATGCAAAAGTCACAGGGGGAAAAGTGGAAGCTGAGGTTGCTAGCCAGCATACAAATTGCTTCTCCCCTCAAATACATATATTAACCTCCTACTGAGATAATACTTCTGAATTTAATCTTATGCAAGGATAACACTAATTTTGTTACCTGATCTCCACACAACTTCCTCATTGTTCCCACTGACCAAATATGCCACGTTCACCTGAGGTTTTAATATAATAATTGAGAGCATGCAGAAATACTTTTACAGAGTTGGAAGAAACTTTGGAAGTCTTCCAGTTCAACTCCCTGATTAACTCTCAATACCATTTCAGTTGTCCAATCCAGTAGTGGGTTCCTACCAGCTTAGCCCGGTCCGGCTAAACTGGTAGTGATTTGGTGGCCTGGGTCGCTGGAACCAGCAGTGACCCAGGCTTCCCGCGCCCCCGAATCAGTTCTCATACAGTGCCGCCATCTTGTTTTTCGGTTCTGTGCCTATGCAGAACAATTTTCATTACACAAATTTATTTATTCATTTTTTAACTTTTTGCACATGCGCAGATTTATTTATGTGCAAATGCACATGCACGCACATTGAACTGGAAGTAATGCCAGCAGCAACCCCCCCCCCCCGGCCCAATCTCACCTTAAAAACCATCAGTGTTGGAGCACCACAACTTCTGGAGGCAAGTTGTTCCGCTGATTAATTGTTCTAACTGTCAGGAAATTTCTCCTTTGTCTAGGTTGGTTCTCCCCTTGTTTAGTTTCCACCCATTGCTTCTTGTTCTGCCTTCAGGTGCTCTGGATAATAAGTTAGCCTGCTCTTCTTTGTGGCAGTTCCTTAGATATTGGAATACAGTTATCATGCCACCTGTAGTCCTTTTTTTATTCAACTTCACCTTCAGCCGAGGTGGCACAGTGGTTAGAGTGCAGTATTGCAGGCTACTTCAGCTGATTGTTATCTGCAGTTCAGCAGTTCTAATCTCACCGGCTGAAGGTT